CATCGGGGATCTTCAGGGACAAGGGACCATTGTGCATCATCAAGGACCAGGATCCACTGGGCATCGTCAGGGATGCAGTCAAATCTCACACCTGCAGGACTGTGACTGTGACTGTGCCGGATGCAGTCAAATCTCATGCCTGCAGGACTGTGACCGTGACTGTGCCGGATGCAGTCAAATCTCATGCCTGTGGGACTGTGACTGTGCCGGATGCAGTAAAATCTCATGACTGTGACTGTGCCGGATGCAGTCAAATCTCATGCCTGTGGGACTGTGACTGTACCGGATGCAGTAAAATCTCATGCCTGTGGGACTGTGACTGTGCCGGATGCAGTGCTTTAAAACACTGCCAGTTTCTGTAGCGAGTGGCTGGGCAGCCCCCTCACGGGGCGCCCCCATGCCCGGCATTTACTGGCACTTCATTTTCACCTAGTGTGTAGGGTACAGCTCTTTGGGCGGGGTGGCGCAGGGACTTTTGTCATGTAATAGCGGGGACATTGCGTGACATGGCTTATGTCACTAAATGGGAAGGTAGCCCCACATTCTGGATGGCCCAGAAGCCACTGGGGCATTGATGTGTGTGACGCAGGACACTGAGCCGATTGCGCCGCTGGTACGTTCCTGGCGAAACCTCGTTTTCTCTGATCAAACAGGAGGCCTCTTGCCGCAGACGATCTGACGCCGTTCCCCTAACACTGCGAGCACCGGTGCACCCTGGAAGCCTCAGGCCTGCTTTCCTGGAGACAAATCAAGAGGTTTTTTTTTTAACCTTTTTTGTTTTGGCAGATTTTTTGATGTCTGCATTGGTTAGTTCTGTTTTCATGTATCACCAGAAGCACAGGAACGTGGTTATGGCTTAAAGCATTTTAAAAACAGCAGCCGGCTTCACACATATGAGACACCTTCAAAAGCTACTCTGAAAATAATCTCTAACAGGAAGAAAGGAGCAAAGTCTCAGCCAGAGATCGGTGTGGAAAAAGCCCAAGCAGAGCAGCTTTCGTAATGATGCCACCATAGCGTATTTGGGCGGCCAATCAGAGCCTCCGCTCCAGGCCACCGAGCACCAGTGCCGGTGGCCGCAAAGCTGCCTATAGCTCAGGTTTAGCACTAAGCGATTTCGCGAGGGGGTGGCCAGACGCACGTGAAAGGAAAGCCCGTGCCCGAGCAGATCAGAGATGGCAGATGTGCAACAGCACGCCAGTGTAGCGGTGTGTCAGGCTCCTCTCTGGAGTGTTTGATTTTTCTGTGTCGTTTTTCTCCTCTTTTCCATGGAATGGTCAGCTCAGGGGAGTTTTAAGGGAATGCCGTTTGACTGGTGAGAAAATCAGGCACACTTCAGCCAGACGATTGAAAGCTTGATGGTGACACCACTGTATGGTGACCACACTGAGCTGAACCATGCACAGTTGGGCTTCTGAGGGTCCCCCAAAGCCAGGAGGGGCTCTCTGCTCTAAAGACTCATTATCCCTCCACTTGCTGGGAGGAGATGGGGCCAGCAGGTCTCAAAAGCCTGGGCGATACCTGATACAGGAGCACCTCCGGCCCTTTAACTTTTTGATCTCAGGCCAGCCATGCGACACGTCCTTAATGAAAAGATAATGAAACCATCCTGCTATTTCTCTTCGCCCACAGAGATGGATCCAAAAGGAAAGCGATTAACCCTAAGATCACTAATTCACAGGTAAGGAAGCGCGGTGGTAACCCTGGCAACAGCTCAGGTCCAGCCGGAGAACAGACGGACCCCAAGAGCAGCTGGATATTTCTGTCTGCGTCTGCGCATACCTCATGGAGAAGCTGCTGGTGTCTTCCATCACTGAAGACATCCTCCCTGTCAGACCCATTTGGGTATCCGAGTATGACTGGTCTTTTAAATATCACAGGGAGTGTCTGGTGGCCCTCCCAGCTCACCCCCCCCCCCCCCGCCTGGTGGTGCTTGCTCCCGCAGTCGAGACGTTCCTGGTGATTTGCTGGTGCTCCGCTGCCTGGCGCCATGCCACGCTGACAGGGACGTGCAAATGAACCTCATCATTCACATCTGAAAGCTCGGCCGTCATTTATTACTGCCAGGGCGTCGCGACCCCCCCCTTTTGTGGGGGGGGGGTTGTTTGTGACAGAGAATCGGAGTGGAGGCGATGACAGGCAGGGCGGCGCTCTCTCCTCCTGGGGGGGGACACGGTGCGTCTTTGGAGGAATGCTTCCCTCGCCACCCCTTTCTCAGGATGCCGAGCAGAGATGAGGTGGACCGTTTACGTGTCACCCGCTTGTTGGATTTCAGGGCTGGTCTCCGCAGCAGGTGTAAGTCCCACTGAACCTCGCCTTCGACGCCTGGGAAACATGGCACACCCCCACAGCAGCTCCCAGCTTTCCCAGGGTCAAGTGGAGGGTAAAAGACGAGCATCCGGGCCTCAGCTCTGCCCCAAAGGCTGCGTAGGGGCATTAGCGACCCTGCCTGGCTACAGGATTGGAGTGTGGGGGGGGGGGGGGTGCATAGACTCCTGGTGGCCGGTGTTTGTAACCGTCACGATTTTACACCCCCTGCCCGTGTCATGCTTGGCTGCTCTGGCCTGGGCCTCCGCCAGATGGCGAGGAAATTAAACTCATTTCACGGATCGGTGACCACGGCCGGGGGAGGGGCCAAGTGGGAGGGGCCGTGCACACCTGCCGACTCAGAGGTGTCCGGAGCACAGATCCATGCGATAACCCCTCCCCCGGGAAATGCAGCCAAAATGGGTCCGGAAGTGGCGAGCGAGTTCGGGCGTGGGACACTTTGCCCCCCCCAGATTTCCGGTCTGGGCGGTGGGGCCAAGCGTGAGGTAATACCTCAGACCAAATAAGCTGGGAGGAAAAATGTAAAAAGGAAAGCAACCGTACAGGGAGCCAATATGCATACAGGGTGACAGGCTGTAGGGGGCGCCAGTAAACTACAGGGAAGGGGGCTCAAACACACGGGGGGGGGCGGCCCTCAAACACACCACTGGCTGCTGCCTCTGTGCCAAACCAGGACGGGGTGATGGAGACACAAACCTCCTTCCAGATCAGCAAGTCTCTCATTTGTTTACAGACACTGAACACCCCCCCCCTCCCCCCCACCCCTACCCCGGTCACTGCGTGTTGATAGATTTTCCACTCTGTGTTTTCACATCAAACAGACGTTTATCTCAGGTGGCGGTCTAGCCGAAACCAAGGTCACGCGGAGGACGGGCGAGTCCGGAGCGTTCCACCTACAGATCACAGGTGCCCAGGAGGCCAGTCTGACTTTCCCCGCTCGAGCCCCGCTGGTGTGGAGGGCCGACCTTTCGGAAACGAGCATCGCTTAATTAGACACATGAAACGAGCGTGTGGGTAATATTAAAACACATTTTCACAGTGAAGGTAACATCAGAGTCCAGCCAAATGGCATCCTTTCAGGCTGATTTACCGGTTTGGCGAGCAACACAGAGATAGGAGGGGCCACTGGTCACACGACTGAGCCCTCCCACCACACAGTGGTGGCACAGAGACCTTTCGCTGGCTACCCGAGACATGCTCCCTATGAAGCCAGCCCTTCTGCTCCTCATTTCCCAGCATTCCCAGCACCGACCATCCAAGGCTTCAGACCCAGAAATGAGGCCCTGGATTTGCTATCAAAAGCATCATAATAAAATCTGATACAAACACTTGAAATCGCCTGAAGGATGCAGCCGCCATTGAATATGAGCCCAGCCACACCCTGCCCGGCCCCCACGCCACGGTCAGGCCATTCCTGGACGTGATGACGGTTGTGATTGGCTACTTCAGTTATTCATTTTGCTAAATTAACTTTGCGTATGCACTGAGGCAACAGTGTCCTCGCAAGGAAACAGGAGGGGGGTACTCCTTTAAGGATGAAATGAAGCGGCATGGTGGAGGGCCGTGGTGCAGTGCACTGTGCCGCAGGATCGCTCATGGGGGCCCCGCAGGCTAACACTGCGTCTGGCAGGATCGACTGGGATCCGCCACTGAGCACCGGAAAAGGAGAGTGAGTCACAGTGACTCAGTGCCCCCCGGCTCTCACAGGCCCCGCCCACCTCGTTACTCACCTTATTTTCACTGAACTTACCCGGCAGCGAGTCGTGGGTTCCCAGAGGAACTGCGTGACAGAGCCCAACCTCCTACCACCTTGCGAGGGCGCTGGTGCCTCAGTGCATATGCAACCAGCCCAACCGGTCGGGGGGGAGGGCAGGGTTCACAGAAAAACCCGACAGAAGGGTGCCCCTAGCACGGCCCTCTGCCACTAAATGCTGGGACTAATGGCTGGCCATTTGAAGGAGAGGCAAATGGTGAGCATGCTAAAGGCTAGGGCTAACGGCAGGCCCAAGAAAGGAAGGGATACTGGTGAGCATGCTAAAGGCTAGGGCTAACGGCAGGCCCAAGAAAGGAACGGCTACTGGTGAGCATGCTAAAGGCTAGGGCTAACGGCAGGCCCAAGAAAGGAACGGCTACTGGTGAGCATGCTAAAGGCTAGGGCTAACGGCAGGCTGAATAAAGGAGAGGCTAATGACGAGCATACTAAAAGCTGGGGCTAACCTCAATCTACTAATAACTGGGTGCTACTGGCAGGCCCGCTAAGGGTGATGCCAAAACCAACCATGCTATAGGCTGGGGCTAACCACAATCTGCTAACAGCTGGCTCGCGAAAAGCTGGCGCTAATGGGAGGTGAGTAAGAGTGAACCATATAGGAGAAACACACTTTAAGCGCCTGTCGAACTCAGCGTGTTGATGTGAGCGCAGATGGTTTCGTTGGTCGTGTGCAGTTTCTTTAATCTTCCTACTGGCACATTTTTCCACACAAAAAATCCACAACAGCAGACAGTGCTGGCGCTCGCTAACCTGCTGCACGAGAACAGCAGACATGAACCCAGTCGGCGAGCAGGTGGCCAGCCGGAGGTGGATAGCAGGCGGGCTGAGGATCGCGGGGACAAGTAGTGGGTGGGAAGGGGAGTGGATGGGATAGGTAGCAGGTAGGGAGGAAGCCCCTCACCTTCGAGGACAGTGAGCTTGGCGCTGGTGTTGATCTCGCCCATGCTGTTGGTGGCCGTGCACTCGTAGATGGCCTCATCTCGGTGGGCTCGTAGGGGCTGGATGCGCAGCACAGACCCCGAGCCGTCGTCAAACTCGATCACCTGGGGGTCGCATATTTGACATCACACTTTAGGCTGTGAAAGCTCTCGGGTCTGGGTCCACAATGGTGCACCCCCGAGGCCATGAAAACGCAGCGTGGGGACACTGGGGGACGGGGGGGAGGGTCACGGCTGTGCATGGAAAGGGTTGGGGGGGAGAAGGCTATTTTTGCCTGGAACATGGCGGCCAACAGAGGCCGAGGAAGGAGGACAGCATAGCAGTGGGGGGGGGTTAGGGTTAGGGTTAGGGAAGCGGCAGCGGCAGAGACGTACCTCGAAGCGTTGTGAGCTGACCTTCTTGCCCTTTTTCATCCAGGTGATGCGGGGCTTGGGCTCGCCCACCGCCTGGCAGACGAAGGAGGCCACCCCCCCAGAAATGCCCGTCTGGTCATCCGGAGATTTGATGAAGGTTGGCAAGCCTGGCAATGAGAGAAACGAAAGCTCAATCGGGAGAGCGGGGGATGTTACCGTGACAACAAGCTGTCAGCAAATCAGAGTAATAATGAAAAAATAGTTTCAGGCATTTCCACTGCTGCCACTGACACGGTAATATGGTATGTTCCCAAATATCGATCCCACAGGGGCCGCGAGAAAAGCTGTCAGTCCGTTCGCGTTGGGAATCCTGTCAGGCGGCATTGCGGTCCGTATTCCGTTTCACTCCGAGCTCACCTGCAGTAATACGAGCTGCTAATATCTCTCAGCGTTCGTGTTTACGTGGCTCACAACAAACGGCCGCTCATATCCGGAATAAGCCGGTGCCCTGGATTTGAACACAAAATGCGTCAAAAATGAACTCAGCTGCAGATCTCGCAGGGCTTCGGGGCAGATGCAGCGCTCTACAGCAAGCTCCCGGCCCTGGCGGGGCACGTCCAAGGACCATTCCAGAACAACGGCCACGGCAACTTTTATTTATCTTGTAATAAACGATCTGCAGACGCGGAGGAGAGGAATCGATATCTAGTTAACATAACGTAACGAGTCGCGCGGCAGCCTGCGTGAGCCAGCGGCTTCGTACCGCGCCGGTGTTAAATCACGTCGGCCACTCTGGGCTGCCCTTGCCCGGGGACGAGGCGGCCTGCACTGGGACCTGTGGAGCGGGACACGGGAGCACACGTGCGTGCCATCCATCTACGCGCTCAGACGGCGAACCCACGACAGTGCTGGCACACTGACATTTCCCCTGAAATTTTCAGCCCCCTACTGCCAGCCTTCAGTAACATCGCTGATGTGTCTCCCTGATAGGGCGACCACCAACAAACCCAACTCGGGATCTAGGCCCAGCCCAGAAAGCAGCAAGACCCCAAAGTCAGAGTCCTTAACCTCCAAAGGCTGCTACCAAGAGGGTGGGGGGGGCAGCACTATGTGGTTCATGATAACCCAACACTGCACATTTGTACCAGCCGCATTAGAGCCGGAAACGCATCTTGCAGTTTGAGCACCCTTCTTGAAAGCACACCATCTAGACGAAGACACACGTGATACAAATGCGTCCCATTTGCTATACAGACATGCCTGCAGACATCTGCCTCTTAAATTCACACCCAGAATTCCTCAAGAGTGCAAGATGTCCCCCAGATGGGTAGTGAGATTTATGGGCTGGTTGGGGGGGAGGGTCTGTGGATGGCATCGCTGCACTATAAGATGTATCGACAGCAGCGCATAGGGTCATAAAGAGCGAGGAAAAGCTGCGGGAACCTCTGCTGATCCAGCGGCAGCTCCGGGTTGGCCGGTGACTCGTTAGCGTATTAAACGAGCCAGGGGGCCATGGGAGGGTGGCATGATGGTCTTCATCCTTGCTGGGAGACCGGCTCCCCCCAAGCTGCTGGGAGGGAGGGGGGGCACACAGATGCGCAGGACAGCAAAGACCTCTGACGTTAATGTCTGGATTTGGCAAAAATTCTCTCTAATCATGAGATTCCATCCAATACAATACCCCAAGGGGCTGACCAACTAAATTATCACGGGTGTGGGGGAGAGGGGGACACCAGGTGCTCTGTCGGTCTTAATTCAATCTGCAAGAGATGTTTTCTCTCCATGGAGAAGATTAAGATGATTACCAGGAGGCGGGGTCACAGCACCCTTAATGTATGGGAACGCTGAAGGTAATCTCCACACAAAGGCTCTTTTCCGTATTGGAGAAAAAGCCTCCTGTATCTGTGCCGATGTAAACGATACAAACACACGCATGTGAGCCACACCCATATAGGCCACACCCACACAGGCCCGCCCACAAACTGACACTGCATCTCCCCAGACAGGTATGAGCAGGGGATTTTTCATGAACGAAAAAAATGGCTATCGCGGTTTCTCTCTTAATTATCTTTGAAGCATCTCCTCACTGCTGTAATCTCTTGTTATTTGGGTGACCGTGAGTAACCCATGCAGAGGTCAGTTTTATAAAGTTCTGCAGAGCCCAGGAGCTGCGGTGCTAATGCTGTGTTCTGTTTAACGCGGCGTGTATCTTCACATCGGCAGTTTTGCTCTCTGTTCAAGCGAAACCGGCACACGTCGAGAAGCCAGACGCGTGCCGCAATCAGACAGAGCCAAAAAGGCCCGTTTCACGCTTGCACACTCATCTCACGGTGCTGCCACCTTCACAGGACGCCTCCTGACCCCTCCCAGCCCTCCCCCCCCCCACCTCGCTCCTCATTTGGGTCCTGAAATGCAAAGCACCGGTAAGAGGCATAACTGTGACTGGATAGATTTACATGTGTTTGTTATGTGTTATGCAAACGCCCTGGGTGACTAGGCGGGGGCGGGGGATCGTGGGGGGGGGGGGGGGGCTCCCTACACAGGCGCCCTACGGTTTATCACGCAGGCAGATCAGTGGATGGGCTTATAGGTCTCACTGACGAAAAGCCCCATAGGAAACAGAGAGAGGGGAGCCTCGCTTCTGACACTTAAAAGGGGATTAATCTTTGGGTCGATCAGCGCCGGTCTCCGCGGCGACGAGCACAACGTGTCCGTGCAGGAAGCCTGAAGCAGCCCATTGTCTCGGAGGCCCCGCCCCCATAAGCAGAGATTCCCGGAGACTTACTGTCTCCATTGAGAAATGAAGGAACAACTATTTGCACGATGGACCGTCAACAATGGCGGGCATAAGCCTGGACACACGCAGGCTCACCATCACTACGAGGTCACGGAATATACTCATGGAATACGCAAAAAAACACACGGAACACATGCATGGCGCCGGATGAAGGTTTGTCGGTGCATTGCTTGGTAAGTTGGTTTACTAGCTGTGTCAAAAGGAAGATGCCAACATGCAGGGTCACCCCTCTGGGGTCTGCATCCCAGCTCCCGGTGACCCAGCAACAACCAGCTGAATCCGGATAATCCCACATGGGGAGAAACGGCACCCTGGCCGAATAACGAGGCAGAAGGCAGGCCACTTCGCTCCTCGGAGACGTGACTGTAACTCAAGGTGACTTAGCGAGCATCCGGATGGGAAAAGGCGGATCGCAGGAAGCGCGGTTCAGGGCTGAAGGTCCAGCCCCAGAGCCGAGCCGCCTGGAACGCGCCTGAGTGGTTCTCCTCATCTATGATGGATGAGCGCGTTTTCGCTGCCGCTGCTTGCTCCGCTGGCCGATTCTGCAGCCCATTAATGCATTTCACCCTATTAGCATCCTGCGCCTGCAATTTATTGTGAATAAAGCCGCCTCCCTCGCAAATGATTCCCAACATGAGAGTAGTCGCCCGTGGGGTTTCAGCTCGCCTTCTTTCGGTCCGCCTGTAGTCGACTTTCCCAGCAAATAATCCCATTTGCGAAATGTTACTTTAGAACTGATACGCGGCTTCTTCTCCAGTCCCCGAAAGCCTCACGGCAGCGGCCGGCACAAACAGCATGACGTTTCGCATCGCCGCGGAAGTGGATCAGTTGCGGGAGACAGGCGGCTGGGTTTACTCAGTCCATCAGCTGCCTAATTGATAGCAAGACAAACAGGGGCTTTAACACAGTGGCACAGCCACACACGGCACAGCGGGCTGACTAGGAACTAAGAGCACGGCCGACGCCTGGATTCACGCAGCCTGTGGGTCTAGGAGATAAGCCGGGACACAGAGATCACTGTCTACGGGAAGGCGTTTAGCTACAGCCCGTCGGGGGGGGGGACTCGCTTCGGAACACCGCCACGCTGAGAATGGGCGGGAAGATGGGTGCCGACCAAAGTGTTTCTACGCGATGTTTAAAGTCCCGGCTCCAAGCCCTGGGATTATCAGACCTCTGCCAGATAAGCGGCTCCTTATTGTGGAGCTTACTGCGGTGCTATCCACTGGATTGTTTTTGTGGAAAAGGCGGGAGGAGTGGGAGGGAGGGGCCAGCATACATGGTGGGGCGTGAGGTACGTGTGACCAGGGGGCCACTCACGTTTGGGAGGGCGGGGGCCCATCACATAGGTAATGTCACAGGGGAACCCCCCATTGGGGGCGTTCTGCAAACTTCCAGCACACCGGTAAATAATGAATCAGTCTAGCTGGGGGATTCGTAGGCAGGAATCACCGGCATGGTTTCCCACGGCGATGTAATCGCACGTCACAAAAGGAGAAGCGGTGGTGACAGCGGGACAGCGACGCTTCCCAGTATTCTGCCGTTGTGACGGAACAATGCCGTCGTCTGGCTGTGGTGTCGCGATGAGGTTTGGGTGACCACAGCTCTTCCTGGTTAGAGAGGGACAATGAAACTGCACAGGGGGTGGGGTAATACTCAGAGTAAGTGAGACCCACTGCACACTGGAGGTCGAAACAGGTACCTCGTACCCTGCCAGAGGTCATGTCATTGTCAACTGTGGTTTTACAGCAGAATGCCGCAACAGAGAGGCTCCCACAGTGGACCTTGGTCAAGGGTACAACCGAGGGACCTCCTGCACATTCAGGTGAACAGGGGGTGTCCCAGATGACCACACCACCCTCAGAAGAGAGCAGCTCTGAGACCTGAGCACACCAAGAGGCAGGAGCCCAGTCAACCATTTGTGACTTTTTGTAGGCTGATTAATGGTTAACTGCTATAATCTGCTCCTGGCTTTATCAGCAAGGGGTCATGCGGTTTAGCAGTCAACTCCCCACCACGGAGCCCCCTCCAGACACTCAGAGTAACACCCCCAGGGTCAGAGAGGTGTGTAATATAGCTTTTCAGAGAGATGTGTCATAGCTTTCAGACTGAAAGGTTCTCTCACTCTCTCTCACACACACAGTCACACACACACACACACACACGCCACAAGGTCACCAGAAGAAGGTAAATCTCTCGCGCTGTTTCGATTCCTTTTCAGTGGACGACATTGGCCAGTAGGTGGCAGAAAAGTGCCCCCCCCAAATGTGCATTGTGGAATCTCCTCCTTCATGGCCTCCACATTTTTCCTGGGGCAGTTGGGCCCCAGCTGTGGTGCATGCAGATGCCCCCCCCCCCACCCGACCACCCCCA